TGTCTTTCTTTCTTACAAAACATAAAATTCGAGACAGAAGAAGATTATCTTCATTACACTCCGCCTCACTCCATGCGGCCTGCCTTGATGGCTGCAGCAAGGGAAATTAAAGAAGCAGAAGCAGCAGCAGCAGCAACTGCTGCTGCTGCTGCCCCTTCAGTACCGCAACATAACGGAGTCTACGGCACCTCTGCACGCCCCAGTCATCTCCCGCAGCAGCAGCAGCAGCAGCAGCAAGGCCAAGCTGAGCAGCAGCTCGAGGATGCGTCTCATGATCACCAGCAGCAGGATGCTAAGCACCAGGATGCCGATGCGTTAGGGTTAGATTGTCTGCCGCGCATTATAATATATGTTGTTGGGGCTGGAAGGGGGCCCCTTGTACAGGCAGCCTTGGATGCTCTCCGTCTGCTGAATATCCCTCCTTGCTTCTTCTTTGTTGCTGCTATAGAGAAGAACCCCCAGGCTTTGTTCGCTCTAAGAGACAGACAAATCAACGATGCATGCAAGGCATGGAGATATGTTGCGGTCATCCCTGGAGATATCAGAGCGCCGTCCACAGCAGCAGCAGCAGCAGCAGCAGCTGTTGCTGGTGCTGCTGCTGATGGTGGTGGTTGTGGTGGTGATGCAGTCGGAAAAGGAACACCAAGATCTGCTGCCGCTGCTGCTGGAGCAGCAGCAGCAGGAAGCGTTCGTTGTGATATAATGGTGTCGGAGTTGTTGGGGTCGTTTGGTGACAATGAGTTATCGCCGGAGTGTATAGACAGGGCACAACATTTGCTGCTGAAGGAAGAAGGTGTATCGATTCCTGCCGCTTATCTTTCCTCATTAGAGCCTGTCTCCTGTCCGCTGCTGCATGCTGCTGCTGCTGCTGCTTATGCTACACCGCAGCAGCTAGATGGTATGTTTGTTGTTAATCCTCATGGGGTCTTAAGGCCATCTGTCGAGGGCCCCAAGACTTGCTTCTGCTATCATCACCCTAATCTGCTGCTGCCTCCGTTTGCTGCTGGTGCTGCAGCAGCAGCAGCACGCATGCACGCCTTCACGCAGAGCATCCTAGGAGCTCCTGCAGCAACAGGAGAAGCGGAGACAGCGGCGGCGGCAGCAGCAGCAGCGGAATGGAATGGCCTGGATTTCAGGTCTCCCTTTGGGGTGACAGCAGCTGCAGCAGACACAGCAGCAACAGCAGCAGCGCATGGAGGCCCTCGTGATCGCATGCGTTTACTTGATTGGAGTTTTAATTATGATTGTATTATTCATGGGTTTTTAGGGTATTTCTTCTGTTGTCTATACGGAGATGTATTTCTATCTATAGACCCCCGCTGCAGCACCAAAGACATGGTGTCTTGGTTCCCAGCGCTGCTGCTGCTGCGGCAGCCGCTGATGCTGCAGCGGCAGCAGCAGCTCGTCCTCTCTATCACCCGCAGATGTGATAATCATAAGGTCTGGTTCGAGCGGTCCGTCATCTCCCCTCTCCCTACCCCCATACAAAACTTAGATGGGGCTTGCACATACATGAGCACCTAAAGAGACAGAATACAAAGCGNCCTACCCCCATACAAAACTTAGATGGGGCTTGCACATACATGAGCACCTAAAGAGACAGAATACAAAGCGTCTCCTTCTTTCTCCCCCTTCTTTCTCTCCGTCTGTCTCCGTCTTGTCTCCTCCTGTCTCTTTCTGTTTCCGTGTGCCTCATTTCGGTGCCCTCTGGGGTTCCCGTATTTTTTGTTTTATTGCTGTCACTCAGCTGTGTTTAATAACAAACCACAATATACATACATACATCAGAAGCAGCAGCAGCAGCAGCTCGGGCTGCAGTTGCTGCTGTTGCTGCTGTCGCGGCGGGTGCTGCTGCAGCACCAGCATTTGGTGCAGAGGGAAAGGAATCATCTATTACGTGTTTGCGGTATTTAAATTGCAGCACAAACAGTAGCAGTAGCAGCAGGAAAAGTAGCAGCAGCAACAACAACAACAGCAGCAACAACAGCTACATTTTAGTGAGGTCCCTCTAAACAACATTCAACAGTTAGGCCGACATACCCTCCCTACAGACGCGGTGTATGTACACCTCAGTCCTAAACCCTAAACCCTAGACCTGTCCACCGCCGAGTTCATCTGAAGTGCAGACTTGACAGCTTCGCCTCCCCTGCTTCCAATGCTAGCCAGCTACACTTGCAGCTAGCTGTGGCTAGTTAGCTAGCTGGTTAGCTAGCTAGCTAGCTAGCTAGCTAGCTAGCCGGATATCTATCTAGCCAACAGGGGGCGGCGAGCTAGCTGTAGGTACAGCTAGCTAATGCTAGCTACCCGCTGTAGGTGCCGACCTCAGTTATCTATAGTTCGCTGTAGCTAGGTGTGGCCCGGTGCAGCTAGCTGTAGCCATCTGTAGCTTGCCGCAGCTGGCTGTAGGTGCAGGTGCTGCAGCATACCTAGTTGTAGCTAGCTCTACGCGCAGGTGTTTTAGCGTGTATATCTTCTGCGGCAGCTACAAGGGACCGCCAGCCACCGCTGCCGCCTAAATTGACGACTGCAGGCAGCTGCAGCAATGTCTTGCTTTAGGGTCTAGGGTTTGGAATTTCGGGTTAGGGGTTTACGGTTTACTGTCTAGGGTTTAGAGTCTAGGGTCCTGGGGTTTACAGGTTCTGGCCTACGGTCTATGGCCTCACGTTTAGGGCTTAGGGTGTAAGGTTTAGGTTGTGGTTGAGCTAGGCTGTCTTTCTTATTGACTTAGTACCAAACGTTTTTTCTCACTAACTCAACAAAAAAACAAATAAATTNAGGCTGTCTTTCTTATTGACTTAGTACCAAACGTTTTTTCTCACTAACTCAACAAAAAAACAAATAAATTAAAGTAAATACACAGACTCCTCATCGACCCCACTGTGGGGCCCGGCAGCGCACAGTTACATGCACGCGGTTGCTGCTGCTGTTGCTGCTGCCTTCTAGGCAGTCAGCGGCTTCTGGTTATCTTTTAGTTGTAGGCTGTGTGCTATGAACATAAAACAAATGAAAAAATTCGACTCGAGCAGCAGCAGCAACAGCTGCAACAGCGGCAAGTTGACGCAGTCGGCAGCAGCAGCAGCAGCAGCGGCGGCAGCTTATTAACCCAGGAGGTGACAACGGCAGCCGCAAGGCTAATGCTGCGAAAGTCTTTGAGGAGCGCAATGTTCCCAGGGACTTGGTGAGCTTGGGCTGCTGCTGCAGCAGCAGCAGCAGCATCAGTTCGTCAGCAGCAGCAGCAACTGCAGCAGTAGCAGCAGGAGCACCCGCAACAAGGGTACCTGCGAGTGGACCTGCTGCTGCTGCACAGCTTCCGGCATTGGCGAGAGCAACGCTGTTAACGCCATCGGAAGAGTAGCAGCAGCAGCAGCAACACGACCAGGCGCAGGGGGAGCAGCAACAGTTGCCCCAGCGGCAGCATCCGCAGCGTCAGCTGAAGAGGAATCAGGAACAGCAATAGCAGCAGTTCTAGCAACAGCAACAGGAGCAGTCTGCAACAGCAGCAACAGCAACAGCAGCAGCAGCAGCAACAACAACAGCAGCAGCAGCAAGATGGTGGTGTTTGACTTGGAGGGTGTTAGGGTTTATTTCCCCTATGATTTTATCTACCCTGAGCAATTTGCATATATCCGCGCTGTTAAGCGCACCGTTCAGATGCAGGGCCATGCAGTTCTTGAAATGCCCACAGGCACCGGTAAACCCTAAACCCTAAACCCTAAACCCGAAACCCTAAACAGGACACCCTAAACACGGGGCAGATGCGGCAGGAAGATGTTGAAACCCTCGTACTTGAAACCCTCAGCACATACCCCAAAAGCGCCCCGTCCTGAGCCTTGCTTCTAGATCCAGGTGAGGGTTTAGGGTTTAGGGTTTATGCTTTAGGGTTTGGGGTTTACAGGAAAGACGGCGGCAATGATGTCCATTCTAACCTCCATGCAACTCGCGGACCCCTCGATGGGCCGCATCATCTACTGCACCCGAACTGTAAGCATTTAGGGTCTAGGGTTTAGGGTTTGGGGTCTAGGGTTTGGGGTTTAGGGTTTGGGGATTAGGGTTTAGACTTTGCGGGTTACGCTGTCCTTTACGGGTACTTGGTGATCCTGGTGCTGCTGTTGGTTTAATCTCTCCACCTGCGTGTACACCGGAACCGGCTGGCTGCCTCTGTTTACCCATTAGCATCCGCTCTTGCAGCTGCTGGCGCACCTGTTGCTGTTGCTGCTGCTTTTGCTGCTGCTGCTACTGCTGCAGGTTGCGGAAATGGAAAAGGCGCTGCTGGAGTTGAAGATGGTCATTGACTATCGGATAAAGGAGATCGAAAAGGAGAAGCAGCAGCAGCACCAGTTGCAGCAACAGCAAGACGAGCAGCAGCAGCAGCATCAACTGCAGCAGCAGCAGCCACGGGCACCAGTAGAAGCCCCCTTGCTGGGAAGAAAGATGAGGGGTAATTTGGGATGTTGCTGCTGTTGCTGTTGAAGTTGCTGCAGCTGTCGCAGCAGCTGCAGCTGTTGCTGCTTCTGTTGCTTCCTCTGCTTCTCTTGCTGCTGCTGGCACTGCATTAGTGGAAAACGTTTTGCCTTGGTAGCGGCTAGGGTTTAGGGTTTACGGCTTAGGGTTTAGGGTTTGCGTGCAGATGCTGGGTATTTGCTCGGGGTGGGTTTGTCTGCCCGCCGCAGTCTTTGCGCCAACGCCAACGTCCTTCGCTCTGCAGAGAGAGAAAAGATTGATGAAGGATGTAAACCCTAAACCCTAAACCCTAAACACTAAGCGTCAAACGTTTAAGGCGCGGTGATCCCAGGATTGGGGCCGCAGAGCCTCCTGCTGTTGTTGCTCCTGTTGCTGCTGCTGCTGTTGCTGATGTTACTGCTGTTGCTGCTGCTTCTGCTGCAGGCCGCAAGAGAACGGCCCCGTGGGTACGTCAAGAAGCAATTGACCGCCGACATGCCCGCCAGGCCTTCAGCAGTAGCAGCAGCAACGGCAGCAGCAGCAGCACTAGTGGCGCCGAGGGGGACGGCACACACAATGGTTCTTCCTCAGCAACGGCAGCGGAAAGCTCTGCAGCAGCAGCAGCAGCAGCAGCAGCAGAAGCACCAGATATAGAAGACGTAGGGGCCGGAGATACGTCGGACGGTCTCTGCGCCTTTTATGAAAACTTTGATGAATATTTCTCCCCCCAGCACTTCCCAGCAGGTAGAACTTAGGGTTTAGGGTTTTAGGGTTTAGGGTGTACGGTTTGTGGTGTGTGCTGGCAATGTCTTTGTTTTTGTTCCTTTTTGTTGTCTAGGGTTAAGGGGTTAGGGCCAGGTGTTTTTATGCTTATTGTTTTTTAATAGTTAATAATTAATTGATTATTATTGTTATATATTGTGTATGTTCAGGTGTATATACACTTGAGGAGCTGAAGGCAGCAGCAGTGAGGTGGAGGCATCCGCTGCTGCAGCGTTCGCTGCCTCTGTGTCCTTACTTCTTGGCGAGGCGTTTGCTGCAGGTCGCCAACGTGGTGGTGTTAAACTACCAATACCTCATTGACCCCAAAGTCTCAGAAGTCAGATCCGGCTGCTGCTGCTGCTGNATTATGTTTCTGGAGCTGCTACCTCTACTGCTGTTGATTCTGCTGCTGTTGCTGCAGCTGCTACTGCCGTTGCTGCTGTTGCTGCTGTTGCTGCTGCTGCTGCATATTGTGGGTTCTGCGGTGCTGGCGTTCTGATGATGAGACCTAATGTTGCTGCTACCGCCTCGTGTGCTGCTGCAGCGAGCTGTGGCACGATTTCTGCTGCATGCCTTCTGCTGCTGCTGCTGTTGCTGCTGTTGCTGCTGCAGGCTGCTGTCTTCGGTCCTTCTGGGTCTGATGGCCCCTTGGGATCGCATCATGGAGGGCCATACCTTGTGGGGTTTTCCCGCACTGCAGCGCAAGAGCGGGCGTTTCAGAAGCAGCTGCAGCAGCAGAAGCAGCAGGACCCGCAGCAGCAGCAGGAGCAGGAGCAGCAGCAGCAGCAGCAGCAGGAAGACTGGCTGAGCACGGATATGGGAGCGTCTGTGGTAGTGTTTGACGAGGCCCACAACATCGACAACGTCTGCATCGAGGCGCTGTCTGTACACCTCAATAAAAATACCCTGGACCAGGCCCTTCGCAATCTAACAGAACTAAGCGAGGATATCAAAAGGTAGCATAAACTCTTCCTGCTGACTATGCTGCTGATGCTGCTGCTGTTGCTGCTGTGCATAGTTTGATGCCTGGAGCGCTGCTTGTGCTGCGGCAGCAGTCCTGCAGCGCCCTTGCTGCAGCTGCTGCAGCTGCAGCAGCTGCTGCTTCTCGCGGAGCTGCTGCATCTCGCTCTTCCCCTCCTGCTGCTACCACTGCTTTATCATCCATGCTGCTGTTGGCTGCTGCTGCTGCTGCAGGCGCAAAGCACAGGACTCGGAGAGGCTGCGTGCTGAGTACCACCAGCTGCTGCAGGGCATGCAGCTGCAGCAGCAAAGGCGGCGAGAGCAGCTACAGCAGCAGTCACAGCCATCGGAGCAACAGCAGCAGCAGTCGCAGCCAACGCAGCAGGTTGTGGTAACAGCTGAGACATTTCAGGCCCTGGCAAATCCAGTTTTGCCTTCAGACGTCGTTGAAGAGGTACAGACCTAAAACCCTAAACCCTCAACTCTAAACACTATATACGTGAAGCGGATTCTTTTTGCAGGGATGATGATTTCGGGCTAGGGTTTAGGGTTTAGGGTCTAGGGTTTGGAGTGTGGGTCTCAGGCCACTCCTGGAAGTATCAGAAGGGCGGAACACTTCGTGGCGCTGATGAGGCGTGTGATTGCCTTTCTAAAGATCTATATCAAGT